CAATCGTCAAGGCTAACAAATTAATCAGGGCTCGCAGAATCGCCTGTCCGACGTCCCAGAGCAACCAAATATCTGCGTCGGGCAACCAAAAATAAATAGGGTGCGTCCCGACAGGCAACCTCTTTAACATCTTTTTGTAACATAATATTCTGTTAAAATGTTCATAATTATCACAGGGTTTCTCACCTCGCCGGTCATCCCTGTCCGGCTCTCAAATTTCCGACCGGCATCTAAACTGCGCCATTTTTTACAAAGACTTTTTCAACCTTAGAAACATAATTAAACACAAAATACTTTGCTAAAAAACAAGGGCTTTTAACTGTAAACGCCTTATTCATTGAGAAAATAACAGTAGAAGTACACGTCCCCATGGTTACGTTGATTTTTAATTAAGAGTCTTGCAGTGGATAGGCTCACAATATACTCGCCTTTGAAAAACTGAACTGAACTACTGAAAAACAGTTTCTGGTTGATATTGAGAAATTATTCTGTTAGAGTATAAATGTGCATATTGTAAATATTTTGTTAAAAAAAGCAACTCTATACGACCAGTGGTTGCCAAGATATTACAATCACGCAAAGTTGAGGTCAAAGGTCAAAAACGCAGTTTGCGGTCATTTTTATAAAATTGTCCATTATAATAAATATAAATATGCATGTTTTAAACATTTTGCTGCAAAAAGCAACTCTGTACGACCAGTGGTTTTCAAGATATAGCTCCCTATATTTCCACCCCTAATTTGCATATTTATGCTAATAAGGTCGGCAAAATGGCACTTCCGGTCATTTTTGAAGAAAATGTTTCATTAGGGTAAATAAAAACATGCATGTTCTGAACAACTTTAAGAAAGAAGCAACTTTCTACGACATGTGGTTACCAAGATATAAGTACCCTACATTTTCAGACCTAATTTGCATATTTCAGCTAATTTGCATATGAAGATGAGCGTAAACAAATTGACGACTCTTTTTATTCGATTCAGCATACTTCAAAGTATATAATTTAAAAAAAAAATTCCCACGGGATGACATAAGCCACCGGACTATTCCTCAAATGTTGCAGTTGCCCGGTGTGTTCAGCAATCACCGATTTTCTCGATCCGGTGCTGTTGTCTCCATGCGTGATTGTTTGCGTTGCAGAGCTTCAGTCGCTGCTTTAAGTGATCCTTGTTGTGTTTCATTTGGCCACCATGGGAGCGCTTGCCACTAACGAATTCAGAATAATAACGCACTTTGGTAGGTTCAGGCATACGAAGAAGGTGTCTAGACCAGCGTAGCTTAGCCTTAATGTTCTTGCAAGCTATACTGATGGAGTTTACATATGGTCGAGGACATCCACATCTGGAAGGCAATCTTGCCAACGGATTCCCATTAGTGAGTGCAATTTTCGCTGATGGAACCGCTCTAGATATTTTATGTGAAAATGATAGGTAGTCCAAGTCTCCCAGCCGTACAAGAGAGTACTTAAGACATATGCATTGTAAACAGTTATCTTGTGTGTGATCTAAGACCTCACTCATCTAAGACACGATTAAGAAGTCGACCATAAACTGTACTAGCGTTGTTGATCCTTCTAGCAACTGCTTTTCCAATGGTTGCATCATTGGATAGAGAGCTTCCTAAGTAAGTAACGGTCTGAGCAACTTTATGTTTCTCTCCATTTATGGTAATTGATGGTTTATAATGTGCATGTCCAGGCAGAGGTTGGTACATGACCTCAGTCTTCGTACGATTGATGATGCGACCAAAACGAGATAAGATGTAAGATGCTGAAGGTCATGTTAGGTGTGAGCCATGAGGGCAATGTCGTCCGTAAAAAATGATTGTCTCTGGTGCCAGCTTAAGCCTGTGAAGGTCGAACGCTTTGCCGTCCAAGCGATATCTAATGATAATCTATTAGGACCGACTAGGGTACACGTCAAATCTGGTTCGAAAAATCTGTAATACAAAGTGCTTCCAAGATATCTTGTCGTGTCTATTATTATAGCTGATGAAATATGAATATAATTTAAGAATTATTGTATCACAAATAATACCAAACAAATCATAAAAAATAATATTTGTTAATTATTAGGTTAAACATAGAAATCATTGTAATTGATTAGTAAAAAATGATAGAATAAAAAAAAATCATTATGGTACACATTTTAAAAATTCAATATGAGCAAGTTAGTTTCAAAATTATTTGTATGTCTTTTTTCCATTTTTAGGTCACAATACATCTTTTTAGTATTCAATATTAATAATATATACATACATGTATCTGATTTTTTTTGGAAACTTGGGTAATTTAGTCAGATTATTATGGTCCAAATTCCTGAAAATAAATAAGAATAGAATAAATCACAGCTACAATGTAAAGCAAAGCTATGCATTGCATTTTTAAATGAATGTATTGTCAGTAGTCGTGTACTTGTATAGCGCATCAACATTGTCTCTATTCATTTATTCTGTTTAAATTATTAAAACTTATAGCAGTAAAACATAACCGAATTGAGAGCAGATTTACAAAATGTTCAAAAAACAGTATTATTAAAAGATAAAATATTATTATAATGCAACTAGAGAAAAAAAATAACCAAAACACATAAGAAAATATTTTGCATCTCTTATGGGATTGTAGGTATGTTAGAGAGATTTGGTTATACGTAAAAACATTGCTCAATATTGACCTAGATAAATGGTCCATGTTATTTGGTTTACAGTGTGTCAGAAATAAGATTTTATTTAACCTTATACTACTCATTACCAAATTCTATATTTTTACAGATTCAGATTCAGATTCACATTTATTTGGTCCTTGCGGAAACTCATTTAAGGCATCAATCACAATACAATGGAATACAAAAATACAAAGAAATAAAAACTAAGAATAGAAGAAATATACAAAACAGTATAAAGTAAAAATATACAGAGATAATACCTGGTAATGAGTATAGAGAGATTATATCTAGCCGTTATTCTTATGTAATCTGATGGAGAATGGAATGAACGAATTCAAATTCCGGTTAGATCTACATTGAATGCTGCGCAGATGCTTGCCAGATTTTAACCAATTATGCTCATGGCATAGAGGGTGATTGTTATTGGTCATAATATTCTTTGTCTTATCAAGGATAATTGCAACACAAACCTTATCAATCGAAATGCATTCCTTAATTATACGACAAGCCTTGTTTGTTAATGCTTGAAGTTTGCCTAAATCTGATTTCCTTAAGCTACTAAAAAAAAAAAAACAACAACGGAACAGAAAAGAATTGCACTTTGAACAACTGATGAATAAAAATGCTTCAAAATCGTAAGATCAACATGAAAAGATTAAGTTTTCTTAAGAAGAAAAGTCGAGTGAGTCCTTTGGAAAAAAGTCCTTTACAATGCTTGCCCCAATTAAGCTTATCATCAATTATTATGCCAAGGTACTTATAACTAGTAACTATTTCAATTTCATCATCATGTATTTTTTCTGGAACAGGTACCCTGTTTACAGATTTCCTGAAGTCAAAAATTACTTCTTTAGTTTTCTTGCCATTTACAGTTAATTGATTAGTATCACACCAATTGACAAAACCTTCAATGGTTTCCCGATAGGGATTCTCATTGTCACCATGCACAAGACCAACAATTACGGTATCATCAGCGTATTTAAGTAGATACGTATTTGGTGTATGAGAAACACAATCATTAGTGTATAACGCATATAATAGTAGGGATAAGCAACATCCCTGGGGGGAACCAACATTAATAGTAATAACATCAGAAAGACAGTTAAACACCTTTACACGTTGTTCTTTTAAATATAAAAAGTTACTGATCCAGGAAATTAAATATGGACTAACCTCAAGATTATAGAGCTTCTCAATTAAAATATATGGCTGCATCGTGTTAAAAGCAGATGAAAAATCTACAAAAGTAGCTCTAGCATAACAATTTAGTTTATCAGTATGTTTTTGAACCAAGTTAACTAAAGTTAGAACGGCATCCTCAGCACATTTAAGTGGCTGATAAGCAAACTGCAGTGGATCAATAGGAGATAGAGAACTTAATAATGGAGGTTAAACCTACTAGAGGTACTTATTAATAAAATTAGGTATTTCCATAAAAAAGAAAATCTTATTTACAAAAGGAAACAAAAATTATCAAAATTTAAGGAGAAATGGGAATGTATAAATCATATGATATAGGTCTAATGGTTCCGGCTTATGATATGCAAGAAGAAAAAAAAAATTTTTTTTCTCTGTCTCCATTGGCTTATATGCTAATGAAAAGATATTTACAAGAGAAAACAGTGTTAAAAAAATAAAGTGCTGAGAATGCAATAATTATAACCATTATTTACAGTAGTCTCCTGATTTTGTTATTTAAAAAAAATATAAGATGTGTGAATTTAAAGGATATTTTGTACCGCTACATGTATCTATTTGATTTTGTCGAAATTAACTTGTCAAATATGAAAGTGTTTTTTTTTTCAATTTTAAGGAATGACTCTTTTCTATTTTTCTGTCATGTTTTTATTTTTTTATGTATTTTTTCTGCCTTTATTTACACTTTAATATTGTAATGTACTTCTTTGATTTGTTATCTTTGTTTGTCATGTCTTTTGAAAATGAATATTAAAAAAAAAAAAAAAAAAAAAAAAAACAGAAAAGGAAAAAAGAAAGAATCTGAATGGTTGAAACGAAAAGGAAAGTAGTAGAAAAGAAAGCAAAACACAATGACAGTAAGTATATAATAATATAAGCAACAACAATAATAAATAACAAGATATTCTGAGATTACAGACTCTCGCCTTGTTGCACCATATTCTTAATATAATAGTCGATGCACTCGATCTGCTGGTTGCTGTTATATTAAGGGGTATAATGTTACAAGTCGGTAAAGGTGCATGTATTAAGTGTTCATTTAATCGAATGTATGGAGTTCAAATATTTCTCTTATTTTTTAGTGATATATAGGGCCGGAAAATATTTAAAACATTCTAAAATTCTTTTTGAGTTATGCGCCCAGGAGGACGAACAACCACAGACCGACACAGAACAGACACCCCGACACACCAACAGACAGACAGATAGACATGGGCTTTTGCAATACCTTCACTTCTTTCTTCGGAAGCGATGCTAATCAAGGGTTGTAAGTAAAAGACAACTACTCTTAACAAGATTTTACCAGAAGCAAGCCCGTAGACAGGTCATTTCAAGGGGGTTCTCTGGGCGTGGGGTTCAGGGGCATGCCTAAGGGCCATGGTGGGGTCGGCCATAGCAGTTTTTGTGTTTAATGGGTCTATATAATGTTTTAAAAGCAGTGAAAACAGATCTATGTAATAAAAAGTTTGTACAGTAATATAATAAAATTTTAAAATATTTTCTGAGAATTGGCATGTTTAAGTAACACCGAAAGATATAAAAAAAAACCCTCATCGCATAATGAATATCAATATACTCAACACATTTATTATTATAAAAAAAAAGCTATTCTTTTTCTTCCTCCTCTTCCTCTTCCTATTCGTCTTCTTCTACTACTTCTTCTTGACTCTCATTTTGTACACTGAAAATAATAGTACTATTTTACTACATGGCTAAAAAAAGCACAATATTGTCATTACTACTAGATGACAGGGCCATCGTTAAATTAAGTCAGAGCCCAAAATATAGCATCATATTCAGTAGGCCTACGTTATCTGACATCATGAGAACCTAAACTTTAATACAATTATTTGTTATATACTAGGCCTAATTCCAAATTATTATTTTAAGACTTTAACTTAATACATTCTGATTAATAATAGCTGAGATTTGATGCACATCTTAGAATTAATACTCGTTTTTAGTATATCTTCCTGAATATTTATTGTCTACCAAATGAAATATGAATTATATGCATCTTTAGAAATACAATTTCTACAATATTAATCTTGTTTTTATATAGATAAATGTTCGATAAATTCTATCTTTCATAAAAAAACCCCCAAAATTCAGCGCGTCTATTTTCATTCTAATCAACGTTTGTAAACGTGCACTGACGTCATCGTCGAATTCAAGGACATTCGACGGTAAAGCTGGCCTGCCTGCCCCGGCCAACCAATAATAATAATTTTTTTTTTAAATATAGGCCTATGGCGCATTTTGTACATGCACTTCAACTTTTACAACAAAAGCCTAGGCCTAGTACCTGTAGTACGTCCTACTGTACTTAGGCCAGGCCTGTAACACTAGTTTGTTGTCGTCGGAGTATAATTCTGTCTCTAAATGAACGAAGAGCTAACATAGCTAGTCAACATCTAGGCTAGGCTAATTGATTTTTAAATCAATAACCCACCTTAAAGAACTATCTGTCGTTTTCAGCGGACAAAAAAAGTCAGTTATTCTACGACGTTTCATGATTCTTTATCACTAAAAACACTCGTTTTGACGCACTCCGTTCTGTAGTGTGTGTCTGCTGTTGAAAACAAACTTCCTAGCCTAATTTTGTGACTGGCTATGATGACTAAGATGTTGATTTATTAATAATATTTTGTTTGGGATGGAAAACAGGAGAGTCAATATCCCCAAAATGCTCCAGCAGCACATAGTTTAGTGTGCGCTATGAATGGCGATGAAATCTACTAAACACACAATCCACAATCAGGTGATTAAGTCGCAAAACTTTATCTGTATTTGGTGGATTAAGTCGCAAAACTTTAGCTTCGTTTGGTGGCACCATTTACTCTAGGTAGACGGTGACCGGTTTCGTTAACGGTTGTTACATTTTCTACAAACATTCAACCAAAGGCCAGTGAAAGTTAAGACGGCAGCCGGGTTTTTATCGATGTTTGCCATCCTTATGTTTGCCATCGTAAAGTCATGGTTTGCTGGAGTTGCGTTCAATTTAAATCTCCGAACTTCTGAAGCTGAGATATTTTATAAAATGTGGGCTTGTATCGCAGGCTACAATTTAAAAACGGGTGACCAAATAATGAATTATGTGCTAAATTTTGATTAAATGCTAGGTAAGTTAAAAACAGACATTCCGTCCAGGCGTCCGAGTGGGACTCATTCAAAAATTCGAGGGGGTTCGCTAGAAAACAGGGGGGTTCGCTAGAAAAAAAAAAGGGGGGGGGGAGCCGCCCGAACCATAAACCCCCCTGGCTATGGGCCTGGTAATTCATGATCAGTGATTCCTAATCAACAAAATTCAATTTCTGTAGGGATAAGAATAAGACTGTTACAATTTTTGTAATTTCAAATGAGCATTAATAGCTTGATGGTAAGCACACTACTGTTTAACTTGTTGTAGTTCATCATATACACACCATATTTAGGAGTATTTATTATGTAATC